GGAGCGAGGTAAGGCCACACGCAGAGGACACGGGGGTCAGAAATGGGCTGGAGAAACGGGGGCGCAGCCTCGTGCCCCCCACAGGGTCCCGGTGTTGCTGGCCTCAGTGGTCCCCTTGTGCGAGCGGTGGCCGCAAAGCCAAGGCCACGAGCGCTGGCAGCTGTGGCCGGGGGCAATATTTGGGTTATGCGAAGTGCCCTGGAGCAGCCCCCTCCCCTCTCTCCCCTCCCTTCCCGCAGTCGTCCTGATCGGGGAGTCCGGGGTGGGCAAAACCAACCTCCTCTCCCGCTTCACCCGCAACGAGTTCAACCACGACAGCCGCACCACCATCGGCGTGGAGTTCTCCACCCGCACCATCCGCGTGGGGGACACCGCCGTCTTGGGTTATGCGAAGTGCCCTGGAGCAGCCCCCTCCCCTCTGTCCCCTCCCTTCCCGCAGTCGTCCTGATCGGGGAGTCCGGGGTGGGCAAAACCAACCTCCTCTCCCGCTTCACCCGCAACGAGTTCAACCACGACAGCCGCACCACCATCGGCGTGGAGTTCTCCACCCGCACCATCCGCGTGGGGGACACCGCCGTCAAGGCTCAAATTTGGGACACGGCCGGGCTGGAGCGGTACCGCGCCATCACCTCGGCGTAAGGATGGGACACCCGAAATCATGACAACCTCCCCCCTCATCCCCACCATGGTACCCGTGGGAGCGTGGGGTGATGGTGGGGGTCTCCCGTAGGTATTACCGAGGGGCCGTGGGCGCCCTGGTGGTCTTTGATATCACCAAGCACCAGACGTACGAGGTGGTGGAGCGCTGGCTGAAGGAGCTGTACGACCACGCCGAGCCCAGCGTCGTTGTGATGTTGGTGGGCAACAAGACCGACCTGGCGCAGGCGCGGGAGGTGCCCATGGAGGAGGCCAAAATGTTGGCGGGTACGGGACCCACCCTTTGGGACATCTCTGAAACGGAGCTGTGCCCTGGCCGGGGGGAAGGCTTCAACATCACGGGGGTCTCCTTGCAGACAACAAGGGGCTGCTCTTCATGGAGACCTCGGCGCTGGACTCCACTAACGTCGAGCAGGCGTTCGAGACCATCCTGAAGGGTACGTGCGTGCTCGGGCGCCGTGGGGTACGGGGACATGGCGGGGTCCACCCCTGCGGGGACGTGGGGCTGGGCAGAGGACGTGCCCTGCCCCACCTCAGCTTTTCGGGGCTGGTTTGGGTGCCGTCTTTCTGGCTGGGTTGGTTTCCGGCCCCTTCGCGCTGGGCGTTGCGCTCTCCGCACCCCATGGCTTTGTTGTCACAGCCTCGGGTGTCCCCAAAGCCCTGGGGGGAGGCTCCGTGTCCCCCTGTTATCCCCAATTGCCCTTCCTGTTGTCCTGCGCTCCTGACTCAGCGTCCCCAGCATCCTGCCCAACCAGCCACGGGGAGCTGGGGGGACTGGGATGGAGAGGGGTGATACTGGGACAGAGAGGGGCGATACTGGGATGGAGAGAGCTGGTACTGGGACTTAGAGGGGCGATACTGGGATGGAGAGGGGCGATATTGGGATGGAAAGGGGTGATACTGGAACAGAGAGGGGCGATACTGGGATGGAGAGAGCTGGTACTGGGATGAAGAGGGGCGATATTGGGATGGAAAGGGGCGATACTGGGATGGAGAGGAGCAATATTGGGATGGAGAGGGGCAATACTGGGATGGAAAAGGGTGATACTGGAACAGAGAGGGGCGATACTGGGATGGAGACGGACAATACTAGGATGGAGAGGGGCAATACTGAGATGGAGAGGGATGATACTGGGATGGAAAGAGGCGATACTGGGACTTAGAGGGGCGATACTGGGATGGAGAGGAGCAATATTGGGATGGAGAGGGGCAATACTGGGATGGAGAGGGACGATACTGGGATGGAGAGTGGTGATACTGGGACTTAGAGGGGCAATACTGGGATGGAGAGGGGTGACACTGGGCTGTCATGCTGTGCTGTGCCATGCCGAGCAAGCTGCCGGCCCCAGCGTTAACACGAAGCCCTAATCCCAAATTGGGCAAGAGGAAGTTGCCCAAGCCCAGGGTGTTCCCCAGTTTGGGGCAAGCTGCTCCCCCATCCCCCCCGATTCCTCCCCTCTGCTGAAGCAGAGCCACCCGCGTGGGGAGCAATGGGGAGCAATGGGGAGGCTGCGGGCTCCAGGCTGTCCCTGCCACCCTGGGGGGGTCCCTTGGCCGATGGCCGCCCCCCAGCACCCCTCGTTTTGCAGAGATCTTCCACAAAGTGAAGGCGCAGAAGCAGAGGAGCGGCCAAACCCCCACCACGGTGTCGCTCGCCGAGGGCTCGGACGGCGCGGCCGTGGCGCAGGTGGAGAAGCGCCCGTGCTGCGTGGCCCTCTGAGACCCCCGGGATTCCCCCGAAACCCCCCCCGGGACCACCCTGGGACCACCCTGGGACCCCCGCAGCCCCGGGACGCGCCAGTGGCGTTGAGCTGGGTCTGCCCCCGTGCCCACTTGTCCAGCCACTGGCATGGGCTGGTGTCACCAGGCCCACGGTGCCACCAAATCCACGGTGCCACCAGATCCACAGTGTCACCAAACCTACGATGCCACCAAACCCATGGTGTCACCAACCCCATGGCATCACCAGGCCCATGATGCCACCAAACCCATGGCATCACCAACCCCATGGTGTCACCAAACCCACGATGCCACCAAGCCCACAATGCCACCAAACCCATGGTGTCACCAACCCCATGGCATCACCAGGCCCATGATGCCACCAAACCCATGGCATCACCAACCCCATGGTGTCACCAAACCCACGATGCCACCAAGCCCACAATGCCACCAAACCCATGGTGTCACCAAGCCCATGATGCCACTAAACCCACAGTGTCACCAACCGCATGGTGTCACCAGGCCCATGGTGTCACCAAGCCCACGGTGCCACCAACCCCATGGCATCACCAGGCCCATGATGCCACCAACCCCATGGCATCACCAGGCCCATGATGCCACCAACCCCATGGCATCACCAGGCCCATGATGCCACCAACCCCATGGCATCACCAGGCCCATGATGCCACCAACCCCATGGCATCACCAACCCCATGGTGTCACCAGGCCCACGGTGTCACCAACCTCATGGTGCCACCAAACCCATGGCATCACCAGGCCCATGGTGTCACCAACCCCATGGCATCACCAAGCCCATGGTGTCACCAAACCCATGGTGTCACCAAGCCCACAATGCCACTAAACCCATGGCATCACCAGGCCCACGATGCCACCAAGCCCACGGTGCCACCCCATCCTGGCGCAGCGGGGACCCTCATCTCAGAGAGCAGCCAAATTCTGCCTTAACCGGTGCCAAGCGCCAGCACCGGGAGCTCTTCTCTGCCTGCTTCGTTAGTGCCGGGCCCTGATTAACGTCACCACGGTCACACACGGACTCCTGCGGTGCAGAGGACCAGGGACCCCTGCCGTGATGGTGGCAGCAATGGGAGCTGCTGCCTGGCCTTGGGGTTGCCCCCAGGGGCCACCCTGTGCCACACAGAGGGGACGTGGGTCTCTGTCCCCACCCGAAACTGCTGCGGGGTCACCCTGAGCCCTACGGAGCAAAGTCCTCTGTCCCCATCCCAGAGGTGGGACACGAGCGCTGGCAGGACCTAGAGAGTCCCGTTTGGGTCCTGCTGAGCCCAGGACGGGGCTGGACGTGGCGCCCGGTGCCGAGGGGCATCTCGGTGTCACGGCCGTGACGCAACCATTAAAGCATTTGCGAAATTCGGGTTTGCCAAACTGGAATCCCTGCGTGTTTTCAGGCCCCACGCCCAGGACGTGCCCCCTTGGAGGTGGCAGCCACCCCAGCCCGGTGTCACTGTCCCCCCTGTGCCCCCTTGCAGCCCGTGTCCCTGCTTGCAGGGGACACGGGGCTGTTCGGACCACGTCCAGCTCCTTGAAACCCCTCGGAAATGGGAATTTCTCCCTGAATCGGGAGATCTGGATCCTCTGGATCTTCCCCCATTCCTGGGCGCTTGCATTTCACAAAGACACGGAGTCATTTGGGTGAAAAGGACCTTGAACATCGAGCCTCCCCCATCACCCGGCCACCACCAAACCACGTCCCCAAGTGCCACACAGGCGGTTTTTGGACCCCTCCAGGGTTGGGGACTCCACCACGTCCCTGATCAGCCCCTTTTAGTCCCTGCCAACCCTTTCCGTGAGGAAATTCCTCCCAAAATCCAACCTCCCCCTCCCCTGGCGCCACTTGAGGCCGGTTCCTCTCATCCCATCCCT